ATAAAATAAAATAAACACCCTCTTGCTTCTATTCTGACCTCCTGATGTTGGATATTTTATTGGTTTGTATCTGTGATAACTTTTTAGAGCAGTTGGCTGGCAACAATCAGATTTAAACCTCTCATTTGAAGGGACGCAATGGGAATTAGAGTGACAAGTTCTACCTTAAACCCTAACTTGTCACAGGCAGTTCACAGACATCAAACTTTTCCAAATGGGTAAGCTGAGCTCACTTATTCTCTTATTTCTGCCTTTGTTATCCTGAAGACTTATTTTTTTCATGACGGTAAAAAAATTAAGGAATAAATTAAGATATCTCTACCTTTTAGAGAAATTCAGTGAAATACCTACTGATGAAATCTTATGATTTCTGGGGCTGTTTCCAAGTTATCTTATGGAAAAGGGAGTGGAATGGGCGGGGAAAATAGAAAAAAAATATGGGACATGGATTGACAATATTTGAAGCTGGTGATAGGTGTGTGTTCGTTCATTATACCATTCTCTATGTTACCATATGTTTAAAATTTTCCATTATAGAACTTTTTTTTTTTAAGTAGATGGCTTAGAAATAATTTTTTAGAAGAGGTTGGACTTGTGTTAGCTCAAAACTGAGTTCCTCCACAAAGACTGCCTTCAGCTGAATAGTCTTGTCCAAGGTAATGCCCTTTCCCACACCCAGCTTGCATCTTGTGATGAGGTGATGGAGGGGAGGACATAAAGCTTTGGCTCCCCTGCCTCATTTTGTGATAACTCTAAATGACTACGTCAGTTGCATAGCTCCCCATGAAATTGGCTAAGGCCTTTTTTATAGTATCACAGTTCAACTTCCTTTTTGAATCCCGTTATTTCACTCCAATCTAGATACTGTACCATTGCATATGGTCTCAGTGGTGTGCTGGTAAGCATTTTACAGTCGGCTCTCCAGATCCCTAATTTGTAGTTTTTGCCAATTTCCATGGTTTCAATAAATGCAACATGACCAATTTTAAGCTACCAATGTGATGTTACTGAATGCAGAATTGGGAAGAGATGAGCAAAATTGGTACTTATGACAAAATACAAGCCAGCACCAGCCACTGTTGCCAGTTGTCCTCAATGAAATTCTGAAATGCAAATCTCTACCGGTCTGTTTTTTTTTAGAATAATCCAAGCTAAATTAACATAAACCACTATTTTTTTCATATCATGAATTTTGGTATTTTGTTTATTAAACTAATATTTCACAGGCAGAATGAAATGAAGTTGGTCACCTCAAATGTTTCAGTGAAACACACACACACACACAGACACACACACACATACCCCCACACCAACACCACAAGACAATGTCCCACAATAATTGCTTAGAAACATTTAAAATATAGACCTTTTCACTTCATAAACATTACACAGCTATAAAGGGCATTCTGAGAAAAAGATTTTTTTCAAATATGTTGCTTTTATGAAGACCAGTGAAAATTACCAAGAAATCACTAGATAAGTTCAAATTGTTATAATTGCTGTAAATCAAAAAATATATTTAAGAATTAACTTTTCATCATCAGAGCTTTTAGGTTAGAGTTGGCCACTTATACTGGCTATCTCTGAATAAAAATACAGAGGAGCATTGCATGTTTAAAAAACTATTAAGACTTTCACCCTATTCACAAGTTGTTGGAATAAATAAATAATCAAAGGTTGAAGATTTCCTAAAGGTGTATAAAGAAAATAAAGGAACAAGACATATTCAATGAAACAAGGTGATGAAAGGAAAGAGAACATCTTGTAGGAAATGATAGAGGAGAATGAGAGAAGGAATAATTTGTCCCAATGAGTGGTGGTTATTATTAAAAATTGGGTACCTTTTATGTAGGAAAAGGAGATACCTGGAAAATGGAAACACAATGTCCAAATGAGTAGAAAAGGTTGGAATAATTCACTTTACTTCAGTAGTATAAACACCCTTAACTATGAACAGAGAATCAGAATAAAGTTTCTGTTATGTTATTAAAACCAACTGCCTATCAAAACAAAAGCTTCAAAAATGGCCTCAAATTATGATATGGATCAAAATCCCCTGGGAAGACTGGTGAAAATGTAGATTCCTGGGCACTACCACTATTCTGATTTAGTGGAAGGCTGGTATGGGATCCAGGAATCTGCACTTTATCCTAGTAAATTCTGAAGCCCTTGGTCTCTGTTAAACCAAAACTTGCTGAAAGGCAATCCAGACAAGCATTCATGATAACTGCAGTTCCGTGAAAAGATTAGAAATGTGTCCATGTCATTTTATTATGCAAAATAGACTTTTTACAAATATCACTCTGGGTCCTTTATCTTCTGCTTCCCTGAAGATCATTTTTAGGATACCACCTTCCACCTATCTACTAATAAATCAGATTCTTCTCTCTCCACCTTTATATTCTTACTTGCTTTGTAAAGGAAGACTGTGTGTGTGTGTGTGTGTGTGTGTGTGTGTACAAATGGGAAGTTTGTGGGTAACAACATTCTAGTTCTGTTAGAAAATTCTCTTTTCCAAAAGAACCAATGAAAAAGACAGTTTTGGCTCTGCTGTAATTATGGAAACTCAGTAATCCCAACTGAATTAAAATCATGGTCTTACTAACCTAGCAGTAGAAGACCAATTCTCAGTATTCACAATCATCTTCTTAACCAACCTCATTCTCTATATCTATTAGTGCGTGTATATATATGTGTATATGTTACTAGCCAAATGTGACCTGGATCCCTCCTAATGTGCTCAGGAACACTTGGATTACAGTTGTTCTTATAAGTGTAAATTCAAAATAGACTCTGAGAGAGATAGGTCTTTCATCTTGTACATGAGAAAGTAATAAATTGCCCCAGAACTCTTGGATCTTGATGAAGAGAGAGGACCCTCTCTCTGAGTCCCATGCCAGGTGGCTAAGTAATTGGTTTCCTATCATGAGTTAAGAGTCGAGATCCTCCTTGAAGGTATAATGATAGTAATTCCTGCTAAAAAAAGACACTCCTCTTAGAGACTTAAAACTCAAAGGTTGGATGTGAAGATCATAGACACCCAGAAGGGAAAAGGATGTTTATTGCTTGCTATGCTTTCAGGAAGGACCAGAGGTTCTACTGCCCTCTTTGTCTCCTGTTTCTTTTACAAGTCTGAAGACATTCATGTGTACTGGAAAACTAGGTCAACTTCATTTAAGTGCACATTATCAAAGACAAGACCAGTGCCTTTGTATGCTTACACAACGTATTTTCTTTGCACAAGTAATGCTGAACTGGTTCATTGAGGAGAACTAAAATTTAAATGATCAAAATCAGCCAATGGGACATCTGCATCTTCAGAACGCTTTCTCTCCTTTTAAGCTAATAGGACTTAAAGAATGTTCACAAGGAACGTTATAATACTTAAAAACGTTCATGAGAGACTTTCTTCTGCTAACAGTACTTTAAAACGTTCATGATTCAGTTTTAAACTGTCGTACCTACTGGGAGTTATAATGTCCCCATAAAAAACTTTCCATGCAGATCACCTTTATTCTTTAATAAGTTTTGAGTATCAGGGCATATTGCTCCATCCAATACTGGTGCTTCGGGTTTAATTTTTATCTCAGTGCACAGCATGAAAGCTTGGGTCCATCTGTGTCACACAAAGTCAAACCTCTCTTGAAGTGATTTGTTTATAGTGTCATTTGATGGAGTGGAATGTTCTGTAACTCATTCAAACTATTACAGAAGCTTTGCTAAAAGGTCACCACTGCTCTTTAGAATTTCCAAATCTGGGCACCATCTGGGAGCTTGTTAAAGATAAGGTTTTCCACTGGCTTTTTCCATACCAACTAGATCCAATTAGCAAAAGGGTACTATTCTGGAGGAGTTTGTGGAGAGAGAGAGAGAGACAGAGAGACAGAGAGAGAGGGAAAGAGAAAAGGAGAAGAGAGGAGAGGAGAGGAGAGAACAGAACAAGACACCGGAGTAAATTATATTTAGTTGCCAATAGTGTACAAGTTTACCTTGCATGAAATTAAAGTGCATGTGGCAGACAACAGTACTAATTAACATTAATTGTCTTAAATGGTGGTATACCAGTCTTTAAAAAGTTGAATAGAATTTGCTTTTTACATATTTTTGAACCAATTCTTCAAGCGTAGTCTTGAGAGTCAACTCTAAAGAAAACTGAACCTCACCATTTACTCAAAATTCAATAGGAAACTGACAATTCATTCCTCAAAGTCATGAAGACTATACATACTCAACATTCACTCTGCATGGCATCAACAATGTTCAATTTCTTCTAACTTTATGGTTTTAGTTTAGGCCTAACATTGGCTCGTGCTTGCTTTCTATCCCCTTCCTTAAGAAACAAACATCCTGAATTTTCCTAACTTCAAAAGTTCAGCTGTAAAACTATAGGAGACCAGCAAGAGGAAAAAGGAAGTTTCGGTCAAAGATGTCTGCAGGTGATGCTGGCCAGTTCTTTATCCCTCTATGGCTTTTGACACTTGTCCTTGGAAAAAAGTGCAAATGCAGCAAATGGTAGAAGCAACATTTCTTTACCTTCCTGCCTGGAACTTCCTGTGATACAAAAGAGTTCTAGCTGGTGCTTTCCCGTGGGGAACAAGGAGGTCAGCTACTGCCCACCACAGTTGCCCATGTCTGCAGATGGAGTAAGTGAACACATAGTGAGATCCACTGAACTGAAAATCTAAACCCTCTCGGTTAGAATTTCTGAAGGGGTCTGGACTAAAGAGGCTGCACAGTAGCAGCTAAAACACAGGCTTATTGCCATTATAAACATTCTAAGAAGTGTGTGTATGTACTTGTAGCAGGATACTTGGGAGAGGAGAAACTTAAAATCTGAAACCATATTTTTATCTCTGCAGTCTTGAGTTGGAGACATTAAAAACACAATAATGTCTCCATCAGTTCAACTAAGCTGGTTCAGAAACCAAACTGTCCTTAGAAAGGGAGAGAAATCCACTTATATCCTTTATGAAACAAGGAGAAGGTCATTCTGGCAAAGTCTTTAGATTCCAGTCAGACCAGGAAGCCTAATCGTCGAGTTCAAAGCTTGTCTCATCGTAGAGTTCAGGGCGGGCTGACTTCCTGTTCCGGGAATATTTCAGCTGCAGGAGATCACCCATCTCATCCAGGGCTTCCAACACCTGTAAAGGGATGGGCTTCCATCAGTTATCTTTAAACCCCCTGAGTGGCTTTGCTCTCCAGTGCCTCACAGAGAACCACCCTCTTTTTTTGCTAGTTTCTTTGATTTTTAGAGAAGAGAAGAAAGATCCAATTCATTAACATGTGGCATATAAGGTAGCCTTAGAGAAATGCTAGATGATAATTCACTTTATTTCATATTCTTTATAGTCTAACTCCACATATTGAATGTTTCACTTATTTTGGGGGTATGAAGAAAAGAATAAAAGCATCTGACCCATGCTTACTCTTTAGCTTTATTTTAAAGTTTAATGACTTTTAGATAAACTTGTGGAAGAATAAGATAAGGTTGTGAATTACATTTGGATTATATCTTCACGACACAGAATTTCAACCTGACTGAGAATAAAATGGAACATTGTGGGAGCTGATTAGTATTGTCCTTTCTCTCCTGTGCTTGCCCCCCACCTTATCTAGGCTCTTTCTCCCCTAGTTTTAATTAGATTTTAAAACCACAAGGCACCAAGAACTCATCTGCTTTAATTCTCTTAATTCAGGCAGGTAAATATACCCCCAATTTTATAAATGAAACACCCAAGATCTAAAATATACAAAATGTTTTTTACTTTTAGTGTATCACTAATCCTGTAGTATGGGCATGACTTATTACTCTGTTTTGAGCCTGTTTCTCTTAACTTGTCAGATGAGGAGGAAGACAATATGAAGGTCTAATGATTTGAAAAAGGTGAAATGGGGTTTATGGACTGTCACCTTTTAGAAGTCATTTCCACCTTCATATATAATAACTCGGTCATATATAATAGATGAATGTATATAGTCATATATAATAACTCACTCTCACCTTCATGCTTCTGCAGTCATCTGTATTTGTTTTTCAAGATGAATTTATTCTGTCTGGTATTATCATTAGTTGCGTATTTGTTAGTATCTCCTCTTAAACTTTTTTGCTCCAGGATTTTTCATATAGTAGACACTCAATTAGTGTTTGCTAAATTAGGTTAGCATTATAAGAAAATGCCATCAGCTCCAAACTGATTGAGATGGCTTAGTTCTCTGATATGATTCATTCACATAAAGATTTAAATCAAAGGACAATGAAATGTGGTTATTAAATCATTAACATCTCAGATAAATGGCTGATAAGATAGGTCTGTCTTTGTTATTGGTTTTCCAACATGTTGTCTAATTGAGTTATATGTTATTATGTTGAATTTGGTGGCTATGGAAAACATTACGATACAGGAAGTTGATGATGAAATGGCATATTAAATTAGCTTTTGCTTTTAGAATTAGTAAATAGCAAAACATTTGGCTACACAGGCAGTTTTTTCTATAAAATCAAAACACTGACTTGATTCAAATCTTAACTGAACTGATTCCTTTTCTATCTACTGAGTTGATCATATTGTTAGGCAGTGTTGGCATACCCTTGTTTCTCAGCAGCTTTTTTATTAGTATTATTTCCCTACACCTCACAAGAGAGACCCAGGGAACCCTAAGCTAGTTCCCTAAAAGAACATGTTCAGAATCCAAGGTACCGGTACTAGAGATTCCACTGGTGTGTGTGATACTCACCGTGTCTAACATCTCTCGTGTATGTGCTGCTGAAACACAGAACCGAGCCCTAGCTTCTGCTAAGGGTGTAGCTGGAAATCCAACGACCACCACCCCAATTTTTCTGTTTAGTAGATGCCTTGCAAAAGCCCTAAAGAACAAAACAAAAAAGGAGGTCGAGAGATGACAAAATTGTACTGTAAAAAAGAAAAAAGAAAGAAAGAATAAGGCTAAATGACTTTTTTTTTGTAACAGTTAGTAGAAGATAATTGACATTATTCAACATCTGCCACATACAATTCACAAAGAAATGGGACAGTCACTTGATGGCACCCATAACTGACTTTATATTATGGGGCCTTGCCCACTCATTAAATAATCTTGAGTACTGAGCCTCTGACATTGAGCAGAAAATACTGACGTACCTGACCCTGATTTAACAATTCTGCATCGGTGTTAAATTTATTTTGTTTGCAGGATTCCTAAAAATAAAAACCAAACAGCTAATAGTGCAATTACATAAAGGAAGAATAGATATTAAATACACATCTATATGTTTTAAAAACTTAATACCAATACTATAGTATGGTATTACTATACTTAATGACTGTACTGTAATTTGAGGACCAGAATCAGAGTCTGCAAGAGCCAATCCCAAGTCATAGTTTTACTCCAGAGTCAAAGATTTTATTTTCCATTAAAGCAGAGATAGGAAATAGCAAGGGTTTCCTCATTTCTTTATGTGTGAATGAACACATTCAGGTATGTTCAGGGATAGTAAAGCCATTGATTGTTTAAAAGGGAAATGGGGCAGGAGGGAGACAGGGAAAAAATGTGCATTCACAGGGAGGCTGACCAGTAGATGCAGCTTGTAGGACATAAGTCACAAAACTGCAAAGCTTTCTGATGCAGGGTAAAACCTCTTAAAGCTATTTCTTCCCTTTAACTTCTATTCTTTCTTTTCCAGAGCTAGTCTCAGTAACAATTCTAGAATACCAAGTTGTCAAAATCTGTACGTTAAATTTCCCAAGTGAAACATCCCCCCTTGTGCTCTTTTGTTCTCTGCAGGAAATTTTAATTACTGAGTGAGGTTAACGCCTCAGATCTGTCTTTACCATTAAGAGATTGCTGTATCTTACTTGAAGCTGGAAGCTGATGGCATTATAGAAACCCTCCAGTCATAACTCATGAAAAATTCTTGAACCAGATGTGAGAGAAAGCCTGTCCATTCATTCATTCCTCTTGCCCTTTAGCTGTCTGCCTTTTGGTTGCCTAATATATGTTATCAAATGAAGCAATGGAGATTACAAGACCTACTGAACATAACAGCCTGTCCAGCCCCGTCTTGGATAAGGCAAGATTCCCCCTTTGATTTGGGCAGGGAAGGTTACAAGCAGATGAAGCTTTCTAACTGAGAAAGCTTGAACACAGACTCTTCGTTCTCTTTCTTGATCACCCTATGGAAGGCTGCCCACGGAACTACACAGGATGAGAGCTCATAATTGTCTGAGAAACAAGTGCTTTTATTGCAAGAGTACAAACCACCTGACCCATGATCTCAGGCCAGTTGTTGGGACTCCCAAAGGAGCGTTTTTGCTGTCTGCATGTTTCTCTTTGTACCAGAGGAAGTGAGTTTTGCCAAAGAATGTACAACAAACTATATGACTGTTGATTCATTAGGCTAATCGGAGGACTCCCTGGAGCACTTTTGAGCTTAAAACTTACACTACTAAATTTTGCTTCTTTCAGTTAATGCATATAATTGCCCTGAACATTTTATATAATAAGCCTCTGGGTTTGTACTCCCCAAAGGAAATCAGAGCTGGCGTAGGCTGAAAGAAACTAAATTATGCAATAATGATAATTAATAATAATAAACATTAGCATGTGTTGCATGCAGGATCACTGCATCTTGTGTCCCATCATCTTCTAAGTGTGTGACAAGTACCACAAAAGGAAAATGTAAGCCCTATACCAAATAGTAAATACAATACATTCTTTGGTTTTTACTTTATCATTTTTTATTGTTATTCTATTAGAGTTGTCCCAGTTTCCCCCTTTGCCCTCCTACACCCATCCACCCCTGCTCTGACAGTCAATTCCCGCACTAAATAAATTCTCGATTATTTAAGTCCCTGTTTTCTGAGTGAAGTCACATCTACTGAACTCCTGAGAAGATTCCAGTGGTAGAGCTGCAATAGGACTTTTTTTAAAAGTTCATCTGGTTATAGATTTTGTTTTCATTCTGCAGTTCTTTAATGAAATCAAAGGTTTTAAAATGAGCAAATAAAAGAATTGCTCATACACTGGCTTATATAATTAACTCCTTGTCTCAGAATCTTTTCCACATACAAACTTTACATAGAAGAAATACCAGAGAAAGAAATCAGGCCAGGTGGCAGGGCAAGCTCTTACCAGCACCTTCTGCTAAAAATAGATGATATGACTTTTTTGTAATTAACCTGTTTAAGTTTACTTGGACAACTCAAACAATTATAGTTTTTTTCATTGCAGTGATCGATGCCTTTTGACTCATCAGAGATGACTTTAAAGAGGGTTAAACTTATACTCCACATTGCTTTAATGAGATGTGCATTTTTTTCCCCTATGGACTAAAAGCTTGAGAGACTGTGCTGTGCACTGAAAAGAGCTCTGGCTTAGGAGGCAAATGGAACTAGCTTTGAATGCTATGCTCTACCACCTACAATCTGAGTGACACTTAGAAAGTAGTTGACTTTTGTGAGTGTTGGTGTCCTCATTTGTAAACTAGGGCTAAGTAACAGTATCAATGGATGATCACTGGGTCTAAGAACCTTAAGTAGCACATAATTGGCATTCGGCAATGTTAGCTCCTTGTTAAAAACCATCTTAAATTGGAAGGCACTAGATAGTTTGCATATCCTCCAATGTTCAATGTAGCATAATTGATGCAGAGTATTGCAGGACCTTTACCTGTTATTTTTTCCTGGAAATTCTAGTTTTATTAATGAAATTAAGATTGCAATAATTATTTTGGAGAACAATGCAACCATGGTGGCTCAATCTTGCACTCAGTTGAAACTAGTAATAATCATCATTGTAGCAGAATTAGAAGTAGTAGTAATAATAATGGCTACCACTGACTGGGTGCTGGTAGTATACCAAATACTATATTAAGTGCTTTATACATATTATTAATACTATTAATAATAGCTAACACTGAGTAGCTTCTACATAAGAGCCAATGCAAAATGCCAATAGACCTCATCTTGTTCAATCTTCACAATAGTCTTATGAAATAGGTACTATTATATTTAATTTCAAAAATGAAAACACTGGAGCTTCAAAAGGTTGGGTAACTTGTCCAAGATTTCTCCAGCTAGGAAGAGGTAGAGTCAAAATTGTTGTCATTCCAAACATCTCACTACACCATAGAGCATAACTTTCACATGAAGCTCCCTCTCAGTTCTATTTTTATTTTTTATGTTTACTGTTGTCCAGTCAGGACTCCTGGCATATAAAGGAGCAGGGAAACTCTCTGTGTTATTGTATAGTTGAGTTCTTGACTTTAAATGCATTAGTTTTTACTCTTCATGGACTCTTCTCATTGGATTGATCCATTTTCCAACCTGTTGAGATTTTAATTCCAGCTTTCATCATCAAAGTCAGAACTATCCAGCACACCCCCTACTGGCACCTGCCAGCATTGTGCATGTTACACTAAAAAAATAAAGTAAGTTGATATTTGGTGTCTTCATTTGAGCTAATGATAAAATATTAGATTGACATGAGCTAAGTGTGGAGCCTTTCTTTCAGAATACACCATTTCCCCAACTACTCTAAATAAGTGTAGGGTTATTTTGTTTTTTCCTTCCAAAATCAGGTGGTAAAACATTTTGGATTATCTGCTCTTTTATTTTTTTATTTTATTTTATTTATTTTTTTTATTTATTTACTTTTTAAATACATTTGTCTCTGCCTCCCCCCCACCTCTTTCCCTTGCCCCCTCCCACCTTCCCTCCCTCAGCTCTTCCCCTTTGGTTTTGTCCTTGCTATATGTTCCTTGACTTTCTGCTCTTTTAAATAACCATTGCCACCCCTCCCTGCCATTAGCACAGAGCCGTATCCTGTGTAACCTTTCTGTAGCACATTGTCTTCTGGCCACTCCAGGCATTGATATCATGATCCAGATCTGTGAACAAAAGGCCTAGTGGTGGTAAAGCCATGGCACCATGGCACATTAGGCAATTCACATGTGTTTTAACCACTTGGGATTTTGTTGTGGTGAAATGACACAAAAGGGTACTCTAAAGAATCACTCTTTTGGGAACTACTAACTCACTCCAAGCCATCATGAGGTCTCAACTAATAGCCCTGGAGCCTCTTTTGTATACCTCCAGTACTTTGCCAATGTATTCAGACAGCCAAATAGAAAGTTCCAACAAAGGGGTTGTGTTCAAAGAGAGTCAGGACCTCTAGAATCTGATAGATATATGTTTAATATTACTTTACACCATGGACTTGGTTAGATATGCAAATAAGCATATTACATTTCTTTCTTACATTAAGAAAGAATTTTTATTAACTTACTTTTAATTACAGATATAATTAGTGTCTAGTAGTTTGGAGAATAGCACACATATAAAATTATTTTTGACATACTGAGAAAAAGTCATTTTTTCTCTTTATGCAGTTGCTACTTGTGTTCAATTTCAGAGTTGTGATCAATGGAAAACAACTCCAAAGAAGCTCACAGGAGGGGCTTTAAAATTTAATGTGAAGAGTATGAGCTTGGGAGTGTGCCTATGTTTGGGTTGGCTTTTGGTTTTGCTACTGCTTGACAAGCATGGCTTTGAGCAAGCTGTTTAACAGCTCTCAGCCTCAGTTTCCCTACACTTAAAGTGAGGCTGCCTTCTTCTGAGAATGACCACAAGATTTCAATGGGAGAAAGCATAAAGCCTGGCAGTGGTGTTTTTAAATATTAGGGGAAATAGTCTTCAGAAGTTCTCCCTGAGAAAGATCTTAGGGCAGGAGGAGGTGCAGGATCATTCTTAATTTACTGTTAAGAGTGGGGGTGGGATGGGAAGTGACTCCCCTAAATTCACACAGCTTGAAAATGATGGGCCCTAGTGAAAAGATCCTGTTGTTGGGCTGGCATGTGGTTTCTGAGAAGGTCTACAAGTGAATTCCAAACTTAGCACCCTGTTCAAAGTGCATGATCAATGCCTGTGCTGCAAGAGCCTCCTAGTGTCAAAAGCAGCATCTTCCTCGGATCACCTTGGGGCTTAGGTGTTACTCTGAGGGTCTGTTGGATACTCACGCTACTTTAGCAGGTAGGTAAAGGAGCAGGGGAACAACAGGAGATTCCTCATTGCCATAGATAATGAATCCCATTTTGTTCAGTCTCTGTCTGAAGTATCTTGTGTTTTTTGCAAGTTGCTGTACTCTCTTTAATCCTGAAAGGAGACAGGCATGAAATCCATCAATTCCCACCAGGAAGAGGGAAGCAAAAGTAAGATTCAATTGGCGAGCATTCCTAAGTCTTTCTGAAGGTCAGCAGCATTAGCAGGGAGGAGGAAATAAAATAAGGCAGGGACATATCTCCTGGTGAGTGGGTGCATGCATTGATGCCTGGAAACTGTCCTGAGCCTCAAAGATAGGACCTAGAGGCCATAATGCTGCCAGGTACTGCTAGCAACTAGAGGCAGGCTAGGCTACAGGACAACAGTGGGGGAAGGTGGTGGGAAAGGTTTATAGCAAGAAGGAAGGAGATGAACTATCTTTTACTAGATATCTATTGTGTATGGACTCTGCACTAACTGCTTTAAAAAATATTAATTCAAGAGAAGGAGTGACACAAGAAGTAATACACACACATATATCATGCTAGTTGTTGTTAGAGGCTTTTGAGGCAAGTTTAGCTGGTCCATTAAATTACCCCTCATCAAAGTCTAATTAAAAAAAATTTCACCCAATCTGAATTTGAATGGGTAGCACATTCCTAGACAAGATAGGTCCAGCTGAAACTAGGGCTTTTTTGTGAGGTATTTGGAAGTAGTAGAGTAATAGAGGGAAAGGAAGAGGTGTATCTCGGCTTTCCACAAGCATAAAAAATTTGACAGTGTTGACTCCAAACAGAAGGTCAAGCCAAGGTACACATGTCCATTTCCAAGTTATTGGTACTTTTGCTCAAAAGCTTATCTCTGTCTTCAGCATGTGTCCAGTGAGACAGTTACACATGTGAGATGACAATGGAATAAAGAGAAGAAAGAGTTCTGAAAACATCTGTTTATTCTACTCCTGCCTCTAATCAGGAAAGTCAGAATATCAGCCAGAGCTAGTCAGAAAATCCTCAGTAAGGAAGGCTGAATGGGATTGGGTGTTTAAGCCTCTTAGAAATCAATTCAATGTTTGCATTTGATTCAAGGTTCTTATTCAGCAGGAATGTGCTATTACTGCTGACCTCAGTTCTGATTGTTCAGGCGTCCATTCAAACTGATCAGAGCTGTTGCTCTACCAGTTTTTCAGCTTTTTGAACATCACTCCTGGTTGTCTGCAGTTCTCCAGATGTAAAATGGGTAAAATATTCAGTAAACATGTCCTCTAGTTTCTTACAGATATGGCCTTAGATTGTGCCTTGACAATGGGTTAAGCAACAGACATCTCCTGTTCAGCATCCTTTCTCCAGGGGACCATGGTGTTCAATTAGAGTTTGCCTTGCCTTTACATTTTTGCTGCAAAGGTAGCATGTGATCAATCCCTAGCCAACTTAAATACTTCATTTACCTTGTTATTAGTTCTTATGGAATACAACCTGGGCCTATCAAAGTCTTTCAGATCTAATGAAGAAGAGGTATAAAAATTATTCAGTCTCAAGCTATATCTTTGTCACCATATGGCGGAAACTTGCTTGAGAATGACATCAATCCAGAAGAAAGTGAAGATATAAGTTAGCAAGAATCTTGATGACATCATAGGAAATCTTGGGTCTAGTCATACCTAAGTGAGTCCTGGCCCATTTGCTGAACTGACCCTGTTGTGTGAACCAATGTTTCTTTTTCTTACTTAAGTTACTTTGAACTGAATTTCTAAAACCTATTACCAAATGTGTTCTGAGTAATACAAGTGGCCATTAATTGCATGAGGTTACCTCTAAAAAACAATAATAATATCTACAACAACAATATAGCTCACAAATAGGTAATGTCACCACTGTTATAAGCACTTGACATTTAATAACTTATTTAGTACTATATTGATGTAGATGTAATCTCATGTTATACATGAAGAGCCAAGTAGGTAGCAGTGTCATAATTTGAACCCAGTTTCTAGAGTCTGTGTTGTTAACCCCTATAATATGGTGCTCTGCCAAACAGTAGCAATGGAAAATGTCTGCCCAAAGAATGGATGGTGGCCATCTCTTCTCCTGAAGCTCAATAAAATTGATCTCTGCTAGCTGTTAGGATCATTGTTGCACAAAATTTTTCCAATGGAGGCAGTTGAGAGGTTGAAGGCTGAGCCATCTTTAGAGAGACTCATGTTGTGAGGGATGGGGAAGGACAGGGATTAGTGTCTGAAACCTACCACAGAGAAGGGATGGTGGGCCCCCTTCACTTAGGGTAAGGGACCTGAAGGGCTACACCTGAGAAGTAAGGGTGAACCAAAAGTAGAGAGTCCCTTAAATGATACTTTCTTTATCCAAACCTCTGACATCTTTAACTAGGCTCTATCACTTCTAAAATATTTCAGATCTTCTTTTGAGAATTTTATTTTTGTTCATCAGGCCCAAATCTATTTGACTTCTATAACATTTTAAATGTGTTAACATTATATTCTGAAGAATGGAGATTTAATGGAGTGGAAAACCAACCAAGGAAAAGGATTTTAAATGTTCCAATTGTCTCTACTTATTTTCTGTTATTACCCTTCACCAAACCCCAGTTCTCAAGGAAGATCCCCAAATCTGCCAGCTCTCAGCAAGCAGGTTGTAATGAAAAAAGCATCTGGATTATTGTACTTTCTCAGGAAAGCTGACCCCTTACCCACACCATGCTAATAGATGCAGGATACCCTTGACCCAAGGGTAGTCTATTTGGGTGTTGGCCAAGGAGCCATGAATTGGTCTATCACAGGAACTTTGCCAAAGAGATAATAAATATGAATTATGCAGTAAGATTCTCTTACTGATAGAGAGTGAATGTGAAAAATTTCGAGGGAACCAAAAATTGGTAGTAAGACTAGATATTGAGGGACATAGAAAAAAGAGCTAATTATGAGAATCTGTAAAACAGAGGAAGTCACTGGTCAGTAGAAGCTATGGTAACCCATGATGAAAAGAAGTAGGCAGGGCAGGGTTAGTTAGTAGCAACAGAAATAAAAGAAATAGAAAAAAAACTTATAGTCTAGTGGGAGAGACAATCAAATGATCATAAATGGATATAAAATTGCAACTTTGATGAGTGCTGTAAAGAATGCTATTTGGTTTTATGAGAGCCTATATTAGATTGGACCAAGTCTGAGGAAGTCAATACCTGATAAGTGAGCTTAGATCTCAAGGGTGAACAAATGTTAATGTGGCAAAAAACCAAAGGAGAACAATCCAGGCACAGGAAACAGAAGAGATGCAATCGTCCTGTGGTTTGTAGGTCAGAGCTGTTGAGAACCAGGCAAGATGTGGTTGAGTGTGGGGCATGATGAAGCTGAAACTCTGGGTAGATCATTAAGAAAAAAAGTACAAGGATTGAAGAATCCAATATTTAATGGTTTGGAAGTAGAAGATGAACTTAAAAGACAGATAACATGATAAGATAAGTCAAGAGAAGATAAGATAAGTCAAGAGATAAAATCGTGTCCATTGGATTTATCAACAAGGCCATGATTGATAACCTTTACTTTCAGGTTCCTGATTGGCACTTTGGTTTTAAAAATTAAGTAGTTGCAAGTATGGTTTATTTTAATTCACATATACTTTTATTTTTTCACTCAACTTTTTGTTTTTGAAAGATAGGTCTTTTCTCCTAAAGTTCCAGGTTTGAAACTTGAATGCAAGTAAGGGGTTCGGAGAAGTATAGAACTATTTGAATGAATTGTATAGACACAGCCTCCCTGAGGTTTAAAAAAAGCCTGTTTGGACTTCCTGACAAGATAAAGGCATAGGTAGATACATACATTTTGCTTCTTCACACAACCAAAAGGACAACAACAAATTTAAAAACAAAAAATAACCAGAACTGCCAGAAAATTGAACTTTATGGAAGTTCGACAATAAAGCAGTTAAAGAAGAAACATTCATCCAGACCAGTCGGAGGGTGGAGACGGGCAGCTGGGGTGGAGAGGTGGCAGGACAAGGCAGCGGCTGGAGGACCAGGAGGGTGAGGCAGTGGCTGGCGGACCAGTGGGTCCCACATTTCTGTGTGGATAAACCAGGAGGAACAGTCGGAGAGTGAGAGAGACTGTGCAATGCAGGGTTCCAGTGTGGGAAAAGAAAGCCTCAAAACCTCTGGCTCTAAAAATCTGTAGGGGATCTGGCAGTGGGAGAAACTCCCAGCCTCACAAGAGAGTTGGTTGGAGAGACCCACAGGGTCCTAGAACATACACAAGCCTACCTACCTGAGAATCAGCACCAGAAGGGACCAATTTGTTTGCAGGGGGAGTGACTGAAAGCTGGCTGAGGGCTGAGCAAGTGGCATTGTTCCCTCTCGGACCCCTCCCTCACATACAGCACCACAATGCAGTGACCTGGGTTGCCCCACCCTGGTGAATACCTAAGGCTCCGCCCTATCCAATGTAACAGGCACACTGAGACAAAGAAATATGGCCCAAATGAAAGAACAGATCAAAGCTCCAAAAATAGAACTAAGCAATGAACAGACAGCCAATCTATAAGATGCACAGTTCAAAACACTGGTTATAAGGATGCTCACAGAAATGGTTGAGTATGGACACAAAATGGAGGAAAAAGTGATGGCTATGAAGTGAAATAAAAAAATATATATATACAGGGAACCGACACTAAAGGGAAGGAAACTGGGACTCAAATCAATGATCTGGAGCAGAAGGAAGAGATAACCATTCAACCAGAAGGGAATGAAGAAACAAGAATTCAAAAAAATGAGGAGAGGCTTTAAACGTTTCAAAATCCAACTCTTAGGTGCACCAGAAGGAGAAGAAAAGAGCAAGAAATTGCAAACTTATTTGAACAAATAATGAAGGAGAACTTCCCCAATCTGGCCAAAAAAATAGACTTCCAGGAGGTACAGGAAGCTCAGAGAGTCCCAAAGAAGTTGGACCCAAGGAGCACACACCAAGGCACATCATAATTGCATTACCCAAGATCAAAGATAAGGAGAGAATCTTAAAAGCAGAAAGAGAAAAGGAGACAGTTACCTACAAAGGGGTTCCCATAAGACTGTCAGCTGATTTCTCAAAAGAAACCTTGTAGGCAAGACGGGGCTGG